TTAAATAAGGAAAACCTCAGACATACTTAACTCGAGAATCTGTTTGAAAGTATAAAGTTTATGTAAGACAAAGAAAAACTGAGGAGCTGTCCTAGATGAAAAGGAACTAAAGAACCATGATGCTTTCACGTAACTAAAGAATCTGTGATCCCGAGTTAAGGATTAACACAAATTATACGTCTGGATCCCACAGAGCAAAAAGCATAGAAGTAAACACTAATGAAAATGATCATTTAATAAACACTATTGATTATTTATTAAGGAATCTAGATGGCTGGAGTTCTCCGTCTTCATCAGCTCACCTCTTCCTTAGTAGAAAGATGTGTTTCAAATCACTCACAGAACATAGATGTACAGTTAGGTATGCAAGATGAGTTCTGTCTTTCATCATAGAATTTGCAGAACATAGTTAAAAAAAAAAAAAAAAACTACCTTGAAGGTGCTAGACTCTACCAAGCGAAAATGTTTCATAATCTTAGCAGTGACTCTAATTTATTTGTTCTTGACTCTGAAGAACTAGAGGTCATGGTCTCCTTGTCGGTGTGGCTGAGGACTCACCCACACCAACAGAGTGTCTACCCAGAGAGTGGGTATCTTGTATATCTATCCTTTTGGGAAACATCATTAGAAGTTTCATAAATTAATCTTTCCATTGCATGCTGTCTTAGAATTTTCAAAGATCCTCTGTTTTTGAGACAGAGTTTTACTTTGTCACCCTTCGTAGAGTGCTGTGGTGTCATAGCTCACAGCAACATCCAACTCTTGGGCTCAAGAGATCCTCTTGCCTCAGCCTCCCAAGTAGCTGAGACTACAGGTGCTTGCCCCAGATCCAGCTATTTTTAGAGATGGGGGTCTTGCTCTTGGTCAGGCTGGTCTTAAACTCCTGAGTTCAGGCAATCTACCGCCTGGGACTTCCAGACTGTTGGGATTACAGGTGTGAGCCACTGCACCCAGCCTGGGCATGAACAGCCTTTTTGTGACTTCACAGTCTGCTTAAACTGCTGGTATGCCTCAAATGTTAAGAACGCCTACTTAAGAGACATGGCTAGGTAACTTACCTAAAGATCATCCAGGGTGAACATTTCCATAAAACTGTTAATGTGTCAGAGAAGGTTCATCCTTCCTGAATGGGATTTAAGGGGTCTAAGGCAAGGCACCAAACAAATTCTTCCCTGAAATCACCCTACTGACAATATAGTCCTTCAGATTTTGTGTATGATCCAGTGTTCTGCAGAAGTCCTAAAAGTCCTGGGATTGATCTGAATTCTTATTTGTTAGCTGGTTGATGAGAAGACAATAAAGAAACTGGTCACAGTGTGGAGCCTCAGAAAGAGAAACAGGTAGAGGGCAAGAGGTATGGCATTTTTTTAGCCCTTCTCATTATGCAACTTTTAAATGTACCCTCCCTGTGTGCTTTCAAAAATATTAATTGAGTGCTGTTAGGGATTGAATTATAGCCCCAAAAGATAGGTTGAAGTCCTAACCTTTAGTACCTTGGAATGTAGTTCTGTTTGGAAAAAGGGTCAACTGCAGATATAATTAGTTAAGATGATGTCATAGTAGAATAAGGTGGGCCCTTCCTCCAGTAAGATTGGTGTCCTTATAAAATGAAAGCCAGGTGAAAACACAGAGACACGGGAAGAACATGTGGAGATGGAGGAGTAGAGCACTAAATCTAAAAAGCCAGGAGATGCCAAAGATTGCCCTAAATCTTCCCTCAATGAGGAGGCATCAGGGGAAGACTCCCCACAACTTTCAAAGATAACATGGCTCTGCCAGCATGTTGGTGTTAGACTGCTAGCGTCCAATCTATAAGCCAATATCTGAACTTTGTTACAACAGCCACAGGAAAATAAAACAAGGGTCTACTATGTGCCAAATTTCATCCCATTCACTTTGGCTCAATCAAATTTTATGTGGTCTCATCCCCAGGAAAATGACAGATAATAGTTTATTTAAAAAGAGAGGTCCTCGGCGCCTATGGCTCAACCAGCTAAGGCGCCAGCCACGTACACCTAAGGTGGCGGGTTCGAATCCCCAGCCCGGACCCGCCAAACAACAATGATGGCTGCAACCAAAAAATAGCCGGGCGTTGTGGCGGGCGCCTGTGGTCCCAGCTACTTGGGAGGCGGAGGCAGGAGACTCGCTTGAGCCCAGGAGTTGGAGGTTGCTGTGAGCTGTAATGCCACGGCACTCTGCCCAGGGGGACAGCTTGAGGCTCTGTCTCAAAAAAAAAAAAAAAGAGGTCCGTGTTGTTAGGAGAAGAGCTTTGAAACTGCGGTATATATGCTCCAAAATAAAGGAAAGTACTGAAAAGAAAAACAAAGTAGATCTTTGAGAGAGGAATGTAAGAAAGATGCACCCTCTCTTCCTCCTTTAGAATTCTCGAGATGGCAGCTTTGGAGATTGAAAAGAAGATTTGTGTTTACAAGAAAAACAAAGCAGTGATCACTAGACGTCAGCATGTGTTCCCCAAGAACAGGATTTTTCAGAGTTGGCTCATCACTTTTTATAGAGAAGTCAGACTGGGAGATGACAACAGTGGTAAAGTGTGGTGAGAGTATCTTGAGACACCTGATAAATTACCAATGGTGTTCTTTTGAACAAGATGGAATGGTTGAGGTGAAAATTAGTGAACAGCCATACCTACAGATGGATGATCAATTATTGGAGCTATGCTAATATGAGTTCCCGTGCACTTACAAAACGACTGCCCTGTTCAACATTTTTATCAGTGACCTGGAAAAGTCAATCATTACCAAATTTGTGTTTGTTGGGTCAGATGACTCAGTTTACACTTGGATATATGCTCTTTGTTCTGGGTGGCCCATTTAGGAAGGTCAGAGGCAAGCCAGAAGATGTTTGGGAGGGAGTGACCTGGAGGAGAGTATTAATCGTGTAATACAAGAAACTGGTGAGGTATTTGGGATATTCAGCCCAAAGGACAGAGACCCAAGAAAAACATGGCAGCCAAGAGGTAGTATGTTTTACTTGAATCAAAGCGTTGTGACCAGTGGGTCAAATGACAGGAAGGCAATCTCGCCTGAGTAGAGGAAGAACTTAATGGATATTAGAATTCTTCAAAGAAAAACATCTGGCAATGAAAACAGAAACTTTCCAAATCTCTATGGCTTAATCTACGAATATAGTAAAAATTATAGCAGGATTTTTAAATGAATTAACTTATTCTAAATGTATAGAAAAGAGGCCCATATCTGATAAATTGATTTTGAAAAAGAAGAGAAAAACGTAATTCTCATCCACACAGTAAGTTCTGCTATAAAGCCATAGTAATAGGACATTATGGACCTAGCAAAGCCATAGGCAATTAAGTTGATGGAATAGAAGAAAGACTTCCATGATAGATAACACTCAAACCAATGTCAAAGTGGATGGACTGTTCAGTGAGTGTTGTTGAGGACACTAACAGATGATAAAAGGAAAAACATAGCTGGAAAATGTATGCAACATACAGAGGTGGCTACAGCTGGATTAAAGAACTAAATGCAAAAAAAGATAAACTTTAAAACACATAAAAGAAAATACAGAAGTACACACTTGTGATTTGGGGGTGCAGGCAGGACTTACAAATAAAACTTGCAAAGCATGAAGTATTAGGAGAAAATTATACAAGTGTTTATTTATAAATTAAGGATTTTGAGTGACAACAATATAAAAGTACCAGATTTCTGACAGATTGGGAAAGGTTACTTGTAAAGTTAATACCATAAGAGATTAATCTAGGCTACACTAGGTATACCACAAGTCAATATTTAGGATATACAAGTAAAAGACAAAAGCCTATTTGGAAATGTTTCTATCAACACGAACCCACGAGACTTTGGTTTGTACATTCATTCAATATTTACTGAGTACTTATCACATATCAGCACTATTCTAGGCCCTGGAGATAGAGCAGACAAAATTCTCCACTCTGGGGCAATGTTCAATATTCTCCTCCACCAATAAGAAAAAGAAATTATAAAAATTTTACTAAGTGAAATTTTCTTTTAAATTATCATCAAATAATTTGAAAGTTGAAAGACTCTTTATGGTACTTTTTTCCTATATTCATACTTGTGTACCATGGCACCATGACAAACAGCATTCCAGGGACACAGGTGGTTAGCAGCTGATGCCTCCCTAGTATTTAGCCTGTAAGGCCAGTGATTAGGTGGATCCAGAACACCTAGGGCTAAACCCTGGCATTTCCTCTCCAACCTGTGTCTGACATTTGGCGATCTCTCTGAGCTATAATTTCTTCACTAGTCCAATGCACTAAAAATAAGACTGGACATAAAATTGGCATAATAATTAAATAAGGTAATATAAAATAACGCCTAGCACAGGACAAAAAACCCAATGTTAGGTTTTTTTAAAATTTCTACACCTTGACTATGATATTAGGATTGTAACAATTATTTTCCTGCATATCATATTTCAAAAATGCTAACAGCTCTGGCTTCTGAATCAGCTAATTTTTCTCTTTAGGTTATAATGAAAAAGGAAGTTATATGGTTTCACTGAAAGTGTATCTTAGTGATGTATGAAATGCATCTCTTAGATTAATTATCCATCCTTGTGTGTGAAATCTTAACTCAGGATATGAGTGCTGGCCAGGTGTGAGAGCCCATCTTGCCATTCCCAGGTCTCATTTTATAAGGCGGTCTCAAGGGCCCAGAGAAGGTAAGTGCCCTGGCCTGAGGTTGCACAGCTATTTAGTCCACACCACATACTTGTTACTATGGTTGTGTAACCACATGTACTTGTCAATTGTTGAAAGATTAATGTTATCCGGCTGGCTTTTTAAAAAGGGTGTGAACTAAGAACATGAATAATACTTAATTAGAGACCTAGACTCAGAGGAATCATGGCCATTCCACGTATGAAGAACTGGCAAGACTTTCTGTTGACTCTTTCATTCTTTGGTTTAGTAGGTGGGACCAGCCACCCCCATTAGAATAAAAGTAAACAGATGCAACCCAATTATAAGTGGAAAAAGAAAGATGTGCCCTCTGTCATTGAGGGTTGCAGAGGGTGGCGATTGATTGGAGAGCTTAGGTGCAGTGAAGTCAGAGCATGAGTTCCAAGTCCAAAACCGTGGGGATTATCGGCGCTCCCTTCTCTAAGGGACAGGTGAGTAAAATGCCTGGCTTTTATTTGAGATTTCTGTACTTTAAGATTTGTAAGTTGTTAATGTCTGGATAGTTAAGTTTCTTGACACAATGTGGTCTGGAAATCTGTATTTTAAAGTTCTCTCACCATTTTTTCACACAGTATAATTATAGACACCAACCCCTCACTCCTGTGGCTTCTGAACTCAGCCAAAGCCAACCACACTGGAACCTACTGAATGATGCCTTGTATGTTTTAAGAGAAAAAGCTTTCTTTGAATCAGACAGGGCTGCTTCTGCGTCCCAACACTCATTTAGGCTCCATTGCTCTCGTTGCTTTTGATGTTACTTTGTGTTTGTAGAGCAAGAGACAGTCTTAAAACACATTTGTTCAGTTGTGTAATCAATGTCTAGAAAAATTTAACAGAGAGGTGGTAAGCTTTAGACTGCTGATAATTTAGATAACCTAAATGTTATTACTTTGTGCAACTTTGGCACTAATGGCATTAATGATCCTGTTTAATAAAACTGTTAGCTCATGGGCCAGGTAGAATCCTTTATGTACCTTTCCTTCGGAAAGAAAGAAAAAAAAATCCTTCTGCAAGTTGGCAACTCTAAAAGGGTGAATGGATTTATGAAGCTTCTAGATTGCCTTAGTGTCACCAGCTGTGAATCCACACCTGCCAGCGGCATTTAGATATATGCTCCTTTTTACCCACACTCATCTGATCAACGGATGAGACGACAGCGTAGGTCTGTGTTAAAGAGAGAAAAAAAAAGGGACAAAACCAAATGAGAAAATGTGTTTGACCTGATTTTTTAAAAGTTGATTTTAAAAAAAAATTAGAGTCTTTCTCCAGGTTTCCCAGGATCTGGGCATAATTTTGAACTCTTGCTGTGTACTCTGACTTCTTATTGCAAAATCAATTGACAGAGGACAGGGGGGAGGGACCCCAACTGCATTTGGACTGTCAGTAAATACTGCGTCTCTTCCCCTGGAATCCTGCAAAGGTCTCTCCTAGAATACAAGGACATTCTGCTGGCACAGGATGTTTCTTTAAAAATCCACAATATTCTTACCCTTGGCTGGAACAGGTTATAACAAAGGCAGAATTTCAAAATCTGACAAAAGGGAGTGATCACCACCACCCAAGTCCTTCTCCCATTAAACCTGGTCATGAGACTAACGTGTACTGTCTCGTGCTTGTAAGGACTGACAGAGAGGTTTCTCTACACTAATCCATAAAGCAGAAGGAATAAAATGGCCAATATACCACCTGTAAGCATGGGTTCCCACCTGAAGGAAGTAAAAGCCTGTCTGTCAGGCAAAAGGAGAGGATTAGAGGGCAGATGACTAAAGGGCTGAGTGTGAGAAAGGGCTCCATTCCCTGCCTTGCCTCATTGCAAGACAGTGAGCAAACCGTGGGGTGGGTATTATTTTTATCTCACAGTTGAGTTAACCAAGGCTCAGAGAGGTTTAGTAATTTTCTCATGGTGACAGAGTGCTGCCTACGTGACTCTCAGGAGGACACCTCATTGCAAAGCCAGTTCCCTGACCTGCACTGAGGATTCCTCTTGAGAGGCTCCACTCCAGAGCGGATCTTACACTTGAAGCTGGTTAGGAACTGGGCTCAGCTTAGAGACTCAATGGGGCTGACAAAGCAATTCCTCAAGTGGACAGATAAAACAATGAGCAGAGACTAGGCATGAGAAGCCTGAATGAGACTTTATGAGAAGTCGGAATCAAACAAACAAACAAAAATGCTAGAAAATATCACTCTGGGTGTTACAGCAAATACAGGGTGAACTAGGAGGGCTATTAAGATTTGTCCTCTAGGGGTGGCGCCTGTGGCTCAAAGGAGTAGGGTGACTAACCCATATACCGGAGGTGGTGGGTTCAAATCCGCCCCAGCCAAAAAAAAAAAAAAAAGAAAAAAAAAGATTTGTCCTCTTAAGGAGAGGGGGAAAACGGCCAGGGAGTTTTATCTAACTGGGAGTTTCTGAGCATTGCTAGATGTCAGCTTTGCGCTACAAAATATGGCACCAGCTATGTAAAGAGAGTTGGACTGTAACAGTCGGGAAGAGACAAAACAGTTACAAAAGCAAAGGGAACGTGGAATCCAGCAGCACTGCATTGGGGTTATAGAAGGAGAAATTAGTCTCCTTGACTGGGAGAGGGAATCGCGCCAAGCGAAAGGGCTGGAGTGAAAAAGCAGAAGGTGTCAGGCCCAGCACGTGGACAGGGATCAGGGATTGACCTGGCACCCAGGGCATGTCCCCTGTCATTTGAATGGGGAGGAAATATTCGCTTAGTTTGCTGCCACAGCCCCAATCCTAGAGACAGATGCGCGCGTCTGTTAACACATATTCTTTTTTTTCCTCACTGTTCAGAATTACTGACTTTTCTTTTTCTATTTTTAAAATGTTTTAATTCAATCAAATTAATGAGGGTACAATTTTAGACTATTTTCTATTTAAAACATTTTTAATTAAATCAAATTAATATGAGGGTACAATTTTAGACTATTCTCACTGGCAGGGGAAAGTCACAGTGTGCACATTCGGTGCGATCCCTGCTTCTGCCAAATGTCCTCCCCTCCCGCCTCGCTTCTCTCTACCTCGGAACTGGACTGTATTAGTGTTTTATCGTTCTTATGAGCATGTAATTATTTACATTGATTGATTTCATATTAGTATGGAGTACATTGGATATTTAGTTTTCATTCTTGCGATACTTTACTGAGAAGACTGTATTTTAGGCTTGCTGCCTGCAGCTCAGTGGATAGGGAGCCCAGCCACACACACTGGGGCTGGTGGGTTTGAACCCAGCCCAAGCCTGCTAAACAACAACGACAACAACAACAACAAAAAGCAGCCGGGTGTTGTGGCGGGTGCCTACTGTCCCACCTACTTGGGAGGCTGAAGTAAGAGAATTGCTTAAGCCTAAGAGTTGAGGTTGCTGTGAGCTGTGATGCCACCGCACTCTACTGAGGGTGACAGAGTGAGACTTTGTCTCAAAAAAAAATGTATTTCAACTTTTAGTGCATATTCTTTCTTATCTCACAGAGAGAAGTAACTTTTTATCTCAAAAAGCCCTGTTGGAAATTAGAATCAGAAAGATACATAAAGGAATTGACTTCAGTTCTCTTGTCACCCACCCTTAAAGGAAGAGTGTGGGTTTCACTAATGTCGAAACAGCGAGAGTAGAATTTCTCATCAACTGTTTCAGCAGGTCAAAACTTGAAATCCTTGGGCTGGACTCTGTGGTTTCTGCTCTCTGTGGCCTCCTTTCCCCCCCCCCCCCGAGCATGCCCGCTTACCGTGCGGCCCCGCTCTCAGCTCTCTTTCATGCCTTGCTCTTTCTCTTCGGATGCCTTGGCCCAAGCTCTTCCCCTGATTTGCTAGGTTTCTCCATCCCGTTTTCCTGACTACCTACTCATGCTGTAAGACTCGGGTTAAATGTCCTCTGCTGACACAGCCTTCACTGACATGCCCTGTCCTCAACAGAACTAGGAACATCTTGTTTTTGTTACTGCAACGCCTGATATCTGCATGGAAGCAACTGTCTGTGTGCTGTAAAATGGGGTTAGATGCCCAAATCTCCTGTTAGCTTGTGAGTGACTCAAAGCCAGAAGCCTTCTCTTTCTCATTTATCTATGAGAGTGCTTTGGCACAAAATATGTGTTCACTGTTGTGGTAACATGGTATGATGGGAAGAGGGGATGTGGGTTTTGGAATTCAAAGAACAAGAACATAGGGCCTGACACTTATCAACTGTGTGCCGTAAGAAAGTCATATAACCTTTGGGCTACTAGTTCCTCCTATTTGGCATAGGCGTAATTTAATCTACTTTGCTGTGAGGATTAAAAACAAAAATGTAAATTTCTAGCTCTATAGGAGCTCAAAAAATGTCAGATACCATTCAGATGATTACATAATGAAAAGGGATTCATGTTGTGAGGATGGCCATGATACACGTCTGAAGTTCTTTATTTTGTAACTGTTCAGCCACGAGGCGGGGTGGAAGGCGGCCCTGCAGCATTGCGGAAGGCTGGTCTGCTGGAGAAACTTAAA